TACCAGAGAAAAAACGTTGAAACGTATTCTGCGAAACGGGTATGCAGGACTGTACGATACGGATATCGGTTTCTATTAGGAGCAAATACCAAAACCGATATTCGTTTTGTAAGCTACGGATTTTTTTTAGAGAGTAGAAGAGCACAGAATGAATATTATTAGTGATAGATCTACGAGTGTGTGAACATAATTAAAATGTGTACTACCGACTTTATAAAGACGATCTTTTTGCAGGATTGTGACATACATGACTGTAACAGAAAGCTCAAATACATGGGCGCATCGAACAAGATTTCTAGGTGTTTTTTTCAAAACTGTCACATTTTCTAGGTGCTTTTCACTTTCTTGAATATTTTATATATCAGTCGTCGATGCCCTTTGTAGCTGCGTCGGATCCTCGCGATTAATGCAAACGTAATGCTTCAATGCACAGTGTATGCGATAATGCATGGAATACTGCAAAATCAATTCAGAAGTAATGCAAAGGTCGCCATGGCGGTGTGGGGCGACTGATAGTGAGTGACTGAGGTGAAAAATACCTGCCACGTTTGATCTCGGCTTCTTTAGATCTCTTATGATGCTAAAAACACCTCAGAAACTCTTCTTCGGGTTTCTTATTTACTAAGCGTTTCTGAAGACTCGGCGCATTTCGGTAGCCTACCACAGGAGTACTCCCGCTGAGTGGCGTTTCCGAAAAGTATGCTCGCGATGCTCGGTGAAAGTGGGATGCAAACTTATCCATGTCTTCAGAATAAGTGAAATGGAATAGCAAGGTCCTTTCATAATCAGTCTGAGCTATATTCAGAGATTTCGATCTACTATTAAAGAATTTATATAGTAGTACCTCCCGACCGAGCTCATAACTGGCTTCTATCAGAGGCTGTATTTGCAAATCCCTAACGGCTCGATCAAACTGTTTTTGAATGAAATTATCTTTATATTCATTAAGATATAAAGCCATCTGTATGTGTGCCTTTTCCTTCCTATATAACAAAAAAGTTGAACTGTGCCTGACGGCTCGAACTAAAGCTGCAAAAGTTATGTTCCTTTTATTGTGAAGGGGGTGCATACTTGAAAATTAAATTTGGTAACTTGGTAAATAGTATGGTTCGTGTGAAGGTTTATGGAAAACACTAGTCACTAGAGTCCCATGGCTATTTTCGATGTTTATATGATAGAAACTCTACCTTCTTACTGATATCTCCAGTTAATTTGATATTTTCTTGATCCAGACGATTCCAACGCACCAGTCATTCTCGAATCTGAGATACAGTGACATTGCATGCAATAAAAATATCGTCGGTGTACCGGAAATTTAGCCCTCTTTTGATGGCAACTATTGTTTTCTGCATTGGTCTTTCAAAAAAGTACATGTATACATTAGCGAAGATGAGAGTAAACGGGCAACCCATGGCTCCTCTCGAGTCTGACGATAATAATTCTTTCGCGTAAGCGAAATAATTATTTTCCAGTACAAACTAGGTCATTTTCAGTATTATTTTAATTAGAACGCCTGCAATTTGGGTGAGTTTAGCTTGGTTGATCATTCCTTAAGAATAAAATATTGGAATTGAAGAATCCGACAGAAGGATTAATAGAGGCCAATTATTGGCTTAATGCAATTGAAATTATTTTTCAAAAATTAAATTATCCACAGCTTTGTTGGCCTGAAGAAGCTGCTAAATGTTTAAAGGACGATGCAGCAGCAAACGTTGTTTTTAAACCATCGTACAATTTAAAAGAACAGATTCGACTACCGTGATCGATTTCGAAAAATACTTCTCGACTTCCAACATTTATTTGATAATTCCCAAATGACAATTGCAAAGACTGAAGTATCACATGTAATAAACACTAGTTCACATTCGCCACCGTGCTCGAAGTGTTATCCAATGAGTAAGCCGAAGGAAGAGGCATTATATAACATCTTAACAGAATTAATGAAAGCGGGGTTGATATCTAAAGCCAAGTCTCCGTATGCTGCTCCAGCATTTGTTAGCACCCAAGTCAGACGGTACCTGGCGATTTGTGGTAGACTATAAACGATTAAATAATGTCACGATAAAAGACCAGTTTCCACTGCCTAATATGGAACAAACAGTTCAAAGATTGGGAGAAGGATACGAGTATTTTACCAAATTCGACTTAAAATCAGGATTCTGGCAAATTCCAATCAAAAAGCAGGATCGTCCTAAGACGGCTTTTATTACGCCCTTTGGCTTGTATCAGTTTAATGTTTTACCCCAAGGGCTCACAAACTCTCCACCCACCTTCCAACGGGTCATGTCAACCGTTTTGGAGAGTTGTCGTCATTTCTGTCAAGTATATCTAGATGACATCGTAATATTTTCTAAAACGGCAGAAGAACATCTCGGTCATGTATATAAAGTTTTACAATGTTTACACCAGAACAACATGAAGCTCAATCCATCCAAATGCTCAATCGCACAACCCAAAATAGACTATCTCGGGCATAGCATCACGGCTACAACAATTCCACCTCTGAATGAAAAAATTAATGCTATTCTAAAATTACAAGAGCCACGTACATTGAAAGAAGCAAATCGATTTATTGGCGCTATCGCATGGTATCGTAAATTCATTAAACGATTTGCTAAAGTTGCTGCATCAATTCATTCAGTCACAAACTTGACGAAGAAAACCAGGCATAAATTCAGATGGGGAGGTGATCAGTTCTTGGCCTTCCACCAATTGAAAAATATCCTAACAACCGCACCCTTATTGTTACAGTTTCCGATTGAAGGAAAACCGTTAATACTCAGTACCGACGCATCCGATGTAGGCATCGGAAGGGTATTGCAGCAAGAAATTGGTGGCCAAATACATAACATTTACTATCATTCCCAGTTGAAAACGAAAGCGGAAAGGAAGTACGACACAATAGAGAAAGAAGCATTAGCGATATACAAATGTTTAGAACGCATGAGGTCGTACATTTTGAATAAAACCGTTATAATATATACAGACCATTGTCCGCTGTGCAACGTGATGAACAAAAATGTCAAGAATACACGTGTGGCAAAAATTGCTAATATGTTGCAAGAATACAATATACGAGAAATTATACATATAAAGGGAAGGTATAACTGCCTTCCGGATTATTTGTCCAGAAATAATGCTACCGAGGTAGATGCATTGTTAGATGCTGATTATGGGTTGGAAATGAGCAGCAGTGGCCGCCACACTGCTAGCGATGTGGTCGGCGTAATAACACGATCAGCAGCGAAGACAGCAGAGGTGACGATGAGGAGTCTACCTGCAGAAAAGCCTGCAAATAACACTCCACTTACAGAAGCAGAACCATCAAAAGAAAGAGTATTACCAAGTTTTTTGGACATAACAAATTTGATCGAGGCGCAGCAGAAAGATCCAGAAATTCAGAAAAAGATCAGCGAAGTTCAGGAAAATCCGAATAAATATCCATATGTGTTGGAACATGGTGTCTTTTATAAATTATTGTCAAGAGATTCTGGAAGAACTAAAACAAAACTTATTTATCTTCCTAAACCAATGATAGCGCCTGCTCTTCGATCCTGTCATGGTCATCCACTAGCGGGACATTTCGGGCTTCACAGAACATATGATAAAATGAAATACAAGTATTGGTGGCCTAACATGCAACAAACAATACACGATTACATCAATTCGTGTCCCAATTGTAACCAACATAATTATAGTAGGAAAAAGAAACCTGGACATTTGTATCCAATACCACCACAACAAGGTCCGTTTCAGATGATCGGAATTGACTACTGTGGACCTTTGATGTTAACCCCAAGTGGAAATCGTTATGTTCTATGCATAACAGATCATTTCTCGAAACGGGTAACGGCTGTGCCATTACTAAATTGTACAGCTCAAACGACTGCTGAAACCATACTCACTGAATATATATGTAAATTCGGAGTACCAACAGTCATTCTATTGGATAATGGTACACATTTTCAAAATCAGTTGATGTCAGCGTTAATGTATTTATTAGGTCACAATCATATATATTCCACAACTTATCACCCTCAAACCAACGGTACGATAGAGCGTTTTAACGCTACGTTTGTTCCACAGTTGGCGAAATTACAGGACCAGGAGTCCAATAACTGGGATGATTTTCTTCCAGCGGTGATTTTTGCTTATAACACAGGTCAACATTTCTCAACAAAGTTTAGCCCCTTCCAGTTGCAATATGGACAGATCCCTAAGTTACCACCAGATCAAAACCCAAAGACGTTGGCATTTAATAAACCGTGCGACTATTATCATCAACTTCAAAAGAACCTTAAGACCTATCATAAATATGCCCGTGGCAACATGATTCATCTGCAACAGCTTTCCAAACAACGATACGATCGTAATCGAACAGACCCACATTATCAAATTGGAGATTTAGTTTTAACAAGATATTATGGAAGGAAACATAAATTGATTGAAACATTTTCAAGAACGCCATCCAGAATCATTGAAGTCGAGGATCCAATTTATTGGGTGGAAGATGTCGAAATGAAGGCAATGACACGAGTACACGTTAATGATTTACGGCTCGTGCTACAAAAACAAAAATAACACCAATTAACGATTACAATTGAAGCAATTGAACTATTACGGACGATATTTTCAAATGAGAGATGTACGACTGCTAAATGTATATTATCCTTGATATCTGCTATGAAACTGTACTGTTTTACGTTTTTCTGTTCTAAATCTGGCAGTGCTTTTAATGTTAAAGTATTAATATCCTCGTACCTTTCATTACCACCAGCATGTGGCTGTTTCGGTGGATAAGTAGGCTGAAATCCAAAGAACTTTTACGCTGATTCCGAAACACCAGGTTTTTGTCCCTCCCTTCGCTGAAGCAACTCTGTTCTTACCGACAGCTCATAATTATGTGATGGAGTTCTCTGTCGCTTTTGTCTCTGATCATTACAACCTATCCATAATCATTCTCATTTCTCATCGCTAGTATCAATCCCATCGTGTTTGTCGACATCCTCACATCTACCCATCTAATGTTAGCTAGGATAGACTAACGTTGTAAGATATATGAAGAATCCTGTTTGAGATAAATTTTTTCGGTGTTTGTTTATTCATAAAGAACAGGTCTATCGACCGGCTATCTCGGACTTTAATTTGGGGGTGTTAGTGGAGTGGGTGAGGGTGAGACAATGAGAAAACAAAGACTGTCTTTCTTCTAATTTTTCTTGTTCAGTTGTTTTCTTGTAACTTGTTGGGAACAAAAGAAAATTAGGAAATCGTAATCCTGATTTTCCTACAAACTGGCCTATATATCAGAACGTCATTTCTTACCGTGAAGCAAGCGTCTGATCAATTTTGCTTCGCAGCCAAAAATGTCAGAAATTAAATTTCACATATTTTATGCGGAATGGATGCATCACAAGAGAAAACAATGAAAAAAGTTGCTCAGAGTCGAATTCAAATTAACATCGTGTTTAGTTAGCTCTGCCAACATCATTTTCTTACAGCTCCTCTTTACTTTTGACAAGCTGCATATGCACAAAAGCACTGAACTTAGTCGATTGTCTTCCGTGGAGAAATGCATTTCTGGTGATCAATATTACATATGTTTCATTATTGTTACTAGAAAACATTTTTTGCTCGCAAGTTTAGGTTATTGTTCCATGTAGCAAAGTTTCACACAAATCACTACATTTGCTGCAGCTCAGGTACGTTACCATTGCTTGTGTTTGGTCTATTTGGACGGAAACAAATCAGCCTTTTTATGATCAACAAGGATTCTTCACGAAATACCCTTGATGAACAAATGTAAATGAAAAAGCTTGTATAATTACTCCAAAATAATAGTGATACAATGACATTGACTAAACGTTCAATTGATTGTTGTTGATCATGTTTGACAATGTGTACTGTGAGTATATAATAGGCATTAAATGTTGCAAATGGTAGCAAGGCGACACTCGATTTGAATAATTGTAGTAGTAACATTTTCGTTATCTGATTATTCATATGTTGAACAAGTCGATTTCTTCGAATGCGATTCATACGTGTTAAATTGCGACGGGTTAAAAAGGCAAACAGAAAGTAGAGTACGGATGGTAAATAACCGTTCACAACACATGTTGCGATAATTTCAATTGGCAAACAAAGTATTGTTTGGTGGTTGTAGACACACGATGGTAGTCTCATATGGTAGCAGAATGCAGCTGGAATGAAGATAATACAGCAGAATAGTGTAATCACTATAATTATGCGTTTTGTTGTTGAGTTTATTTGTAATTTACTTCCTCGACAACTCATGCTGAAACGTTCAATACCGGCCATGACAGTAAATGCAGCGGATGCTGCGGTTGAAACATTAACGATATATAATCGAATTTTACAAAACAAAAAGCTTTCGACGATGTCGATGTTATACTGTACGTCAACAATATTGAACAGTGGTCCAGTAGTCACGTGTATGATATCGGCGATAGATGCTGAACATAAATAAATTGAACACGGGCTAGTTTTCAATGACTTTTGCGTAAATACGGCAATATTCATGAAACAACTTATCTCACATAATATTAGCAATGGAATACCGACATAGATTAATAATTCATCTGATACGAGTGCCGATGTTGATGTGTTTGATAATAACATGATTTGAGATGAATAAATGAACAAATTTGTGTAATATATCGAAACTTTAGCAAACAAATCGCTTAGTCTGCTCTTTTTTTCTCATTTGCACGCAACAGAGTAACATTTATTTTTGATTCTATGCGTTTTCTTCTGTCACATTCACGATTTTCCTTTCTAGAAACACTCACTTCTATTTCTTTATTAATTTTCATGAGATCCGGTAGAAGAATAAATTTTTATTCAACACTAATGGCGCTCTTTTACTGTGACACGTAAAATAAGTCAAATTATGAAATATTTTTCGCACGATTAAATTATAGGCATCACACTAGATTCAGGATGGCTAATTTGTTGTACTTCTGTATGACTTATAGTGTCAGTTCCTATGATATTCGTTGAAATTGTAGAGCTGCAGCGCTTAGAATTTATTTATACGTATGTTGATTACATGTATGAAAAAAGAAACGGATAAATCCCATCCTTCATAGATATTATCATGTGATTACTTTTCATTGTCGAATAGAAGAAAAGTGCCCTTTAGTGTTGAATGAAAATTTTTTCTTCTACCTGATCTCATGTAAATTAATAAAGAAATAGAAGTGAGTATTTCTAGAAAGGAAATTCTTGAATGTGGCAGAAGAAAATGCATAGAATCAGAAATAAATGTTATTCTGTTGTGCGCAAATAAGGAAAAAAGCAAACTAAGCACCTGGTTTTCTAATTCGAAATATGGCACGTATCTATTGATCTCAATTTGTGTTATTATCTGTTAGGTATTATGCAACGGATCCTTAAGATCGTAGGCGGCGGATCTATGGATGATCGTGGGGCGGATGTGTTGTGAATTAAATATTCGACCTGTCATCAGTCTCGAAGTGTGAATCGAATGATGTGCCTTTCAAAGAAATCTGAGAGAAAAAACACCAAACTAGAAGGGCAGTTCTGTTCAACTGAATGCGATATCGACTCTAGCTAATTATGTGTTTCTTTCTTCAAAAGACTGAGGGTAAAGGAGGGGGCTTAACTTCATCAGATAATGGTCCCTCGTTTTTTTGCTTATTTTGACTCGACTATTGTAGAAAAGACGTTTGGCCACATTTTCCAGTAGTTCTTATGGAAAATAAGCTCAAAATACGTTTTTAAAGTTGATTATTTTGAGATTCCATCAGAGCACGTCGTTGTTAAGAAAAAATAATATTTCTGAAAAAATCCAGCATAGGTTTCACACAAACCTTGATATGACAAAATAGCCGGTGAAAAACTGAATAAAATACTCTATGAACAATCCTATACATCATTTTCAATAGGAAGAAATTATTTTTACAAGAGACAAATTGACCTAAAAGACGGCATAGGGGATGTCTAAGTAGTTTTTTCTTCATATGCAAGCGAGGATCCAACTTGTATTTGATATAGAAAAGTAGGCAATGAAAAACTGAATAAAATGGTATGTGAACCATAGTTACGTACCATATTACTAAGGAGAAATGGTTTATTTTCAAGCATCCCCTGTCTAGTGACCATACTTGAATGATCATATTTTCCCATTTTCTCCTGTAAGCAAGAGAGGATCCAGCTAGCTAGGAGATGCAAAATGTGACAGTCGGTCGCCCTGATCTGTAAACCTGCGTCAATCGCTGTGATGCGTTATTCTGTAGAAAAAGATCATGTCTCTACCTGATATATTTCGAAAATAAGCGGAATATATTTTTCCAAACTAGACCTTTTTTCTTCGAGCGAGTACTCTCAACAGACTTTGTAGAAGGCAGGCCAGATCCGATGGAAAATGTCGAAAAATGCACTTTTCCCGTGCAAGGGTAGAATGGCTATAACGTTTTTTGCTGACAAGGCTGGAGACTTGCGGTTTTCACCATTCGGTTCAGCTCGCCGAGCTCTGTCTCTGTGGGGTCTCATCGTAACGTTCCACAGCCACTTGGAATAAGACCGGGAAAGGAACCTGCAAAGAAAGTTAAATTAGCTTTAACAAAAGACTGAATATTAGTGAAAAACTATTGTAATCTAGCACTTATTTTGTTTCTGAATTATTTTTTTGTTACTAAGTATACTTTACTACTGACAAAATCATAAATTAATTTTCATAAATCATTTACCGAGCTCATTTCTCTCTGTTCAGAGTATAGATTAATTTTTTTCGAGCTCATTTCATTTTGTGTCGAAATTTTTATTCTTTAATCGATACAGAAGTTAGCTTATTCCACGTTAAATTTTGTTCCAACTTCAGCTTCTGACAATCTGAGAATTTTGCAAAAAGGAAAATGTTATTGCACATTGAGTTCACGAAGTTCTTGTAAAGAAACAACGATTTCATCACGAAAAAACGTGAGGTTCTTGTGGAGAAACAACGATTTTGTTCACCAAAAAGCATGAAGCTCTTGTGGAGAATTAACGATTTCTTCAGGAAAAAACATGAAGTTATTTTGGAGAAGCAACGGTTTCTTGAGGGAAAAACACAAAGTTCCTGTGAAGAAACAACAGTTTCTTCACGAAAAAAACAGGAAAAATTCTTGTGCAGAAACAGCGTTTTATTCACCGAAAAACATGAAGTTCAACGATTTCCTGACGAAAGAACATGAAGTTGTTGTAGGGAAACAATGGTTTCTTCAGGAAAAACATGAATTTCTGGTGGAGAAACGACTATTTCTTTAACTAAAAAATATGATGTTTTTGTGGAGAAATAGCGATTTATTCACCGAAAAACATGAAGTTCTAGCGCAGAAACAACGATTTCTTTTCGATGATTTAGACCCTTCCGAGCGCCTTCAGTCGAATATACCCGACAGAATCTACTTGAAACCGCACAACAGTTTACCACGAATAGTATGACTATAAAATCAACATTTCTCAGTAACCACCGCCGTTTTTTTATGGGAAAAATGTGTTTTGATCACGAAATTTTTTAAAAGCGAAATGATCACGAAATTTTTTAAATGCGAAATGATCAC